GTTTAAGGGCTAACATGATGATTTACTTTCAGTTTATTGTAATTATTTGAAAATACCCTCATACGACGAAACTGCAGTAACAACATCAGTTAAAAAATAAAAGTAGCAAAAAAAACATAGAAAGTTTTATAGCTACATAGTTGTTTTCAACCCCAAGTAGTTTTCATCTTTATTGTTATACGTTATATTTCAGGGTTCTCCTATTGGGCTATTTCCCGTCAATCAAGTCTAACTTTATCGATTTTCATACAGTTCCATTCTTTTTTCGTTTTTTCAAGTTTCCATAGAGCTGGTTCTTAGGTTTTTTTATGAAATTGTGTGCAATGCAGTTTGTTCTCTGTGGATCAATATGAAAATTTGTTTTTGATCAAATGAGGAATTTTCGCTCCAAAATAATATTAAAATAATTTTTAGATTGCCTCTAGTATTTTTATGATGGTTATTTTTCCTAATATTGGTATGGCAAGTATTTCAAGTTTTCATCACCAAATTTGGTTAATTCTGTTTCAAAATTCACCCGTTTATTTCAACGTGCGTAACAGTGATTAAATTTAACTTCATCGTAATTTATCTACTGAATCATGATCATGCGAAGAAAAATTCAAATAAACAGTTTTTCTTAAAATAACATTGGTTGTTTATATTGTTCGGCGGAGAAACTCAATGTTATTTCAATCTTTTGTCATTATTCCTCTATTAGCAGAAACAGAAATATGCGAATGAATAATAAATGTAGATTCAAGGAGAGCATGTGCTCTCAAGGAAGGTTTACATTGTAGAAAAACGTGTCCCATCTAAAGTGATTGGATTTTTTTTTGTGAAGGGTCAGTAGTTTCATTCTCTTTTTTGAGATATTTCGCCTTACATGAAATGAAACAAAACATTTATGACGGAGAACTTCATATAGAACGAAAGTATAAAATGACGCCGTGAACACAACAATGCTGGAACATATTTCAAGTGGCACAAGTCAACAGATATCTTTTCATATTAAACTTGAAAATGGTTATCTTCCTTCATTTACATATAGCCGCATCAAACTACTGGTTATTAGCGGCGGATACGGTGAATAAATATTCATATTCATATTGCAATTTAGCAGTAATATTGCGGGTTGTGATCACCTGGCTCACACACTAGTATCTCATATCAAAAGCAAATGAACTGCAGTGTCTTAACATATGTAACATAAATGTGAATGAATACATGTCATGAATTTGTTGGGAGAGATGAATATTTCGAAATTCCATTTCAAAATATCTCTCTTCATTCTCAATGAATCGAATATTTTCATTTCTAAAAAGTTAAATTTCAGCCATTGACCAGCCAGTGAATTTTTAAATACCTGCCATTGGACAAATCTATTCGAACATCAAACTAACGGTTACATCTATCAAGTAGTTTGGTTCAAGTTGGCTAATATCTGGAAATGGAACGTGAGTCTTTGATTTATCAAACAGATTTAATCATTGTATAACATGGGAGTCATCTATGTGAATTACTATTTGGGCCCCTTTATACATGAAAAGCTATCACTTTTCATCTTCTTAAGTCCAGAATCGAAAAAATTGTAAGTAAATCATGTCAGGGATTGAAGAGTTGAAGAGTTTAGTAATATAATTTCTTGCAGAAAATTTAATTGAAAGCAATACACGTTTGATACACAAATGAAACTATACATTTGCATTATAAGGTAGGTGGAACGGGTACCTATTTGGGTTATATCTTACGCTGGTGTCCGTGATATACCAGACATACAAAAATCACATTTTTAGGTTTATTTACTTGTCCAGGGCCGCATTCAGTTGGAACGTATGAGTTCAGTTTCTTCTCTACATCATGATACCTGCTTGAGTTTCAGTGGGACCCGAGCTCGCAAAAATCAGGCAGATGTTCTACATTATGACTTGTATTATCAAATATAATATATTTGCGACCTGCCTTGGCACGTCGAATGTGTGCCATTTAGTGTTGTGAGTTCAACGTTGAACATAGTTCAAGTTAAGATGCATATACAGGGTGTTTCAAATTCGATCCTAACCATTGGTATCTCGGAAACTATGAGAGATACGAATATGGTTGAATTGGGACAAACAATATGCCGTTGAGAAAGTTCTGAAATTCCGAGTATATCTGGAGATATCCGGAAAAAACAGAAATTTTGGAATATGGTTTTTATTTTTTTCTGGTTTCATTTCTCAAAGGATTCGAAAATGAATTATACTTCCACATTTCCACTTTTTCCCTGCTACATAATGGTGTTTCCAGATTTGCTATCCGACGTTTTGTCTTCCGGCCACCATCATCAACTTTATTTTTTTCTTATGTGCCATATATTACATTCTTCCTTTTTTAATTAAAACCAGATGTTACTTTCTCAATGATATATCATAAGTTATCATTTTTATTTTTAAAATTGGAGATATTGAAAAAAATTAATTCTTATCATAATAGGCTCTAACTTTGATGTTTCTAAATTTGACTGTCAATTTGTTACACTCAATGACATTTTGTTATTGTACAAGTCATTGAATTTTTTGCGAAAAATAACTTTCACGAATGAAGAAAAAAGAGATAGGTACGATACGAATTTATCACAAATACGATAGAAACAGTGTTAGGACATCGGAAATGTATTTAAACATGTATGTTCAAGTTATTGGATCAAAATCTCATCGAGTTTGATTCATTTGAGAAGCCGAGGAAAAAATACAGAGACAGAATGGACCAGGAAACTAAAGCAAATTTTATAAATGAGGTATGTATGAGGTAAGTTAGACATTGTAACCTTTCCAATAAAATTTAATAATTTGCAGATAAACATGAACCCGGGGAAATCTACACGTCAAATTTTCTCCGAAATGAATATTTGTCACATAAGTGCTTGAAAACATCTCAAAAAAAGCGGTTTGAAATGTTATAAAATACACATAACCCAAAAATTGCATCCAGGTGATCCCAAAAGGCGATTAGAATTTTGTAATTGGCTAATAAGGTAGGCCTGATTTTCCTGTTTTCCTGGAAAATGCAATTTGAACAGATGAAAACACTTTTACGATTTTTGGGATATTCAACCGAAATAACGATCACATTTGGAGCATAAACAACTCCAGGCAGTTCCGAGAAATTCGACCTCAAGTGCCATTTAGTATTAACGTGTGGGCAGGAATTTACAAAAATAGAATTTTGGGTCCTCATTTATTTGACGGAATTCTGTATGGAGAAACCTATCACCAGTTTTTAATGTCGATTTTCGAAGACTATTTGGATGATCTATCTTTGGCTAACTATAACATTTGGTTTCAACATGATGGTGCTCCACCGCACACTACTAGACGAGTACCTAATTCCCTGACTGAAAGGTTTGGTGATAAATGGATAGGGAATAATGGGTCGATGAAGTGGCCAGCAAGGTCTCCAGAATAGAGTTTATGGTCAGAGGGAATATCAAAATATTGAGGACCTTCAAAACAGCATTGTTAGAGAGTTCGGAAGATTGAGGAAGAGGGAAATTAACCATGTAGTGAAAAATATTCGAAGAAGGTCACATTTGTGTTATCATGAAAAAGGCCACCAGCATTTTGAGCATTTGCTGTGATTTACTTTTGTCTTTATATTTTAGTTAATTATTGTTACTCATTCAAAGTTCTATTTTCATTGAAATGGACACAATGTCTAATTTACCTAATACACACCTCATTTATCAAATTTTGATTGTTGATTCTGTCTCCGTATTTTTTCATTGGCTTTTGAAACGAACCAAACTCGGTGAGATTTTGATCCAATAACTTGAACATAGTTCGATGTGGTTGTCATCTTTCAGGATACAATTTTGAATACATTTCCGATGTCCTAACACTGTTTCTATCGCTTTTGTAATAAATTTGTATCGTATCTCTTTTTTCTTCATTCGTGAGAGCCATTTTTCGCCAAAAATTCAATGATTTGTACAGTAACAAAATGTCATTGAGTGTGACAAATTGAAAGTAAAATTTGGAATCATCAAAGTCAAAGCCTATTATGATAAGAATTAATTTTTTTCGATATCTCCAATTTTTCGATAAAAAAAAGTGTTTAAAATGTGTTTTTCTATTAACCAGCTATCGCACTCCTATGAACGATAACCCTCAGAAGTCGAAACTTGTGCGAACTAAGGACTAACGAGGTCTTACCTTTTAACGTGTGACTCCTAACATGGATTGGACAATAGCAAGAGGCAATCGATCGTTCAGCCTGCAGCTTGAACCATCGACAGACACATCGGCTGATTGACTGAGTTAACAAAGCACCCACGTCGAACCACCTGGCAACCAACCGACCAAAAAAGAATGATAACTAATGACACATCATTGAAAAGGTAAAATGTGGTTCTATTCAAAGAATTCAATGTAGCGCCTATAAGAAAAAATAAAGTTAATGATGGTGGCCGGAAAACGAAACGTCGGATAGCAAATTTGAGAACATCATTATGTAGCAAGGGAAAAGTGGCAATGTGGAAGTATGATTTATTTTCGAATCCTTCGAAAAAATGGTTGGGTAACGATTATTTTCTTGCCGACGTTTGAATTAAATTCGAAATGTCGGCAGGAAAACAATTGTTTCATTAAGCAAAAATTGATCCTATTACCCAACCAACCTTTCTTCAGATAAAAACCATAGTAATGTAATATTAACGGTTATTTTCTCGTCCTAAATTTTCCATTTCGCATAGAAAATCTTTATGTATTTGAAATAATTTATCTTTTGATCTTTGAAACACATAACTCATGCGATTCAACTGACATGCTAAAGTAACAACAACTAAAAAAGCTCTACTATATTGAATAAACTTTCATTTTGTTGAGCAGAGTAGGAACCTCTTCAGTCTTTTATATTTCTTCTTAAAAAACAGTAACATATAATGAATCAGTTGATATACAGAGGTGGAACATATATTTGTATTATTGTTAACTCTCAGGACAGTACTTTGCGAAATGAATTCCCAAAGATTTATATATCTATTTATTTATCCATTCAGCCTGTTCATATTTTTGACACCATCAAAAATTTAATTAGAAATAAAACTAAACATATACAAAGAAGCGTAACTTGATCCATGGTTTGAAGATGATCCTCAAGAAACTTGAATAATCATATTTTCCCTTCATTTTTGTTGATCACTATTGGGAGATGATCTTCTTGATGAAGCTGGTGATCTTTTGGGAGAACGACTAGTCTCAGCATCGGGCGATGCAGACGAAGAACCACCGTTGGTTCCTTTTCCACTCGTTTTCAACCGGACTTTAGTATCCAGATGACGGAACCTAATCAAAAGGAAAAATATAATTAGATTCAATTGACATATCATAAATGAATTAGCCTTCACAAGGTTGACATAAAACAAATGAAAGTTATATAAAAAAAACTATAAATAGAAGGTTTCATGTAAAATACACTCCTTGATAAAGTTCAAAGAGTTTCCATTAATGCCACACATATTACATACTCAACTAAAATTATAACACATTAAATTTACTGGTGCTTTGAGATTCACATTTTTCTACTACTCTGTCAATGAAATGTTTTCTCGTATCTTGAGTTGAGGCGTGGTACATAAAATTCATTTTTTTGTAGGAGCGGAGTACAGAAGATGTTATTATTTATATAGAAATGTGACCGTAATGAGAGGTATACGTGTATTCAGTGAAATAATATTAAATTGGTTCAAAAGGATGGAATAGTCAATTTCCCTTTAGGGGTAAATACATGTAGTGCGAAAAGACAAGACAAGACACCTGCTGAAACCGTAGGTCTTTCTTAAATTTTTTTCGACTCATCATCTACACAATATGAGGAAGGTGACAAACAGGTAAAAATACAATAATAGATGTAGATGTAGCATGTAGAGATATGAATAAATATATGGAGCAAGAACCCGCGAATGCTTGACCTTCGTTAATTTATAACAGGTGAACGTTTTTAGCTGCATTTCTTTAATGTATGCAAGAACAATGGACTCCTAAGAAGTCTGAGTCACCGTAGCTTTGAAGCTACACTTTTAACTCATTTTATCACTGGCTCATCCAAGCTACCGGATAGATACCTATCGCCTCGAGCTAGAATCTGCAGCTAACCTCCAAGAGTGTAGGTTTTTTGCACATGACTTGCACATGACAAAATATAGATGTATCACCAACACGGTTAGAAATTATTATTATTCCCATTTTGAAATGAATGATGAAAACTTTGCATACAGCTTTACTTCCATCACTTACAAACTTTAATAGCACTTTTGTTAATTGTCATTATTCGTTTCGAAAAATCAATCATTGATCGAAGGAGAAGAATATGCAGGTTTATTTTAAGCAAATGTTCTGTCAGATTCAATATGTTGATAACAAATCGATATCTTGCACGTCATGTGCGAAAAACAAGTTCCGAAATTTCTATACTTCTTTGGGTGCTATTTTGGTGGTTTATAATCTTCACGAAGAAAACTCACTTATATAATGCCCTTCTGAAGATACGTCCAGGGCGTCAACTTTAAAAGTACATTTGACCGTTATTTGCGAACATCTGAAAACAATGAATTTTTTGCACAAAAATTTCAGCCATAGAGATGCGATTTTGACGAAATCAAAAATATTTGCCGTTTTGAATTTTCCGACATTTTGAATTTTGACTTTCTTCTGGATACATTTTGGTTGGATTGAGGATTAGGATTCCATATTCGACAAAATGACAGTGTTGAAATGTTCTACAAACACGAAAATTTTGATTAGGCTATCTACAAAAAGGCCGAAATAGCATTTTCGGTAGCATCTCGCTTGGTTTATTTTGCTCAAATGAAGATCATTTCATTTGTAACTAACGTCTATTTCACCTTATCCTACATAATGAATGAAATATTGTGGAATAGTCAACCAAACAAAGCATTATTTATAGTTCGTACCAAAACCGCCTGAGAACGAAATTGATGGAAAACTGCAATAATGTAGAACTTTCCGTGTACTTTTGAGATAAACTGCTTGATATGCTAAACATTTCTTTTAATAATTTTAATGTAATTGAAATAATAATTTTTTAATTACGCTGATGACTTGAAAGTATTCCATTCTGTGACATGTACCAATGATTCATTCCTCATACGAAATGATATTGATAGATTCTATTTCTCAATCTTAAAAAATGCCTCTCTATCACGTTCACAAGAAACAAAAATATTTACCAGCACCAATATCACATAGACAGGCAGCAGCAGTTAAAGAAACATATTTAGTCAAGGACTTGAGAGTATTATATGACTCTCTAAACTATTATTTGACTCCCATATTAACTATTATGAAAAAAATCTAACAAAGCTCTTGGATTTCTGATCAGGACTTGTCACGACTTCAGAAATACTAACTCTGCTCGTACACTTTTCATGGCTCGTATTTTGAAAGACTTGAATCTATACAAAGCAAATGCATTACCTATATCAATAGGAAATTCTTCCATAATCTCAAAAATCCATTACCAATTGAAATACAACTCAATTTGATATAATTGGCAGATAGACGCCAAATAGCTGATATTAAGTTCGTATATAAAATGATGAATAACTGTTACGACAGTAGCTCAATATTGAACCAACTTTCAATTACCTCTGTATAACACTAGAGAAACATATTCATTCCAAACAAAGTAAAACTAATTACTAATTGAATTCTCCCCTAAATAGGTGTTGTAAATCTTAAAACTCTTTATCCAAATCAATAGATATTGATATCTTTTCTAATTCCCTCGCAATCTTCACCACGTCTCTCAAACGTTCATATAATCATTTTCATGTCTAACGATTGTAATTTGCACTTCACTTGAATAACACGATATTGCATATTATGCAATATAATCAAATCTTTTACTGTTATTTTCAACTCTTCATTTGTTGTTCCGTTTTGAATTCCACTGGAAATAAAGAATTAAATAAATAGTTGTTGAGGATGCGGATGTTTACCTTTACTCCTTTACTGAAAATATAAGTAGTGAAATGAAATGAATTTTCAATATGTGGTAAATCCTCTCTATATGCAATTACAGCTTGACAACGTCTCGGCATACTATCAATTAGGTTGTTGAACATTTCCTGTAGGGGTTCGATTTCGGAGTTTAGGTGAAGTAGCCCTAATGATGGCTTTTGTTTCTACAGCATCTCTATAACATATCACATGCATGGTCAATGCAGTTGAGGTCAGGAGATGAGTAAGGTAGAGCAAGATGTGGAATTTCGTTGTTAATCAATTACACTATCTGTGCTGTACTGCGTTCATATTCCTCCCACGAATGTAAACGTCATATATGCCACCCCAAACCATTATTGACCCGCCTCGGGTATAGTCGTTGCATGAATCGTAGATTTTAGGACGTTCTAGGTAAGGTCCGAACTCATACCTGGATCAATTTGTGTGGAGCTGACCTCCATTTATTGCTTCAATGAATATGATCTCTTGTCCACTGTAACCTTTGTCGCATGTAAACTTGAATAAGCGAGACTTCGCAAAAGCCGTCTTGATCTTAGATTTCGATCATCCAATTATTTTATTGTTTCGATCGAAAAGATCGTTCTTGTGGCGTTGAAAAGTCGCTGTGACAGGTGTCTACAGAAAAATAACGTCTCCCTTCGTAACAAATCATTTCCGTGCGGGTGTTTTTTTCTTCGGAATACCAATCCTAGGTCTTTCTGATATAATTACACTTTGCGACCCATTGAATTCATTAGCGATTCCTTGTTGTGAGCGGTATCGTTGCTTGTTATCTACTGTTCTGTGATTTACGTCTAACCGTGATATTAAAGACGGTGTAAATCGAAATGAAACAATAGAAGAACTGAATTATTATAGTTCTCTCAGTCATAAGTCAAATAATGGTTTCAAAGATATCAACACAAATGAAGTTTACAATGTGTTTTGTACTGAGCGATGATGAAATAATATAATTTATCGACATGTGTTTACATTATTCAACTACTATTCAACATACTCTTCAGAAGTAGTTACTGTTATTAGATAGTGTATCTGGAATGAAACTATTCTAATAAATGAGAAATTATTGGTGTAACTCACCTGATTGGTACATCACCGGAAGACCCATCGTCGGTTATACCTTGAAAGAGAAATGCCAATGGCCAACTGATCCATGATGCGCTCCTGAAAAGGAAAGAATTAATAACGATTCATCAAATAATATCAGAGCTAGTAATACAATACAAACTAGCCCACCTAATCATGAAAAGTATGAAGTATGCTAATAAAATAACTAGCAATACATCTTTATCTTCTGGGTGACCGAAATAGGTACCTACACATATTTATTGATCAAGCTATATTAATTACTTAAGTTATTATTGATACCAGATGAATTTGTGTAACGAATCGATTGATAGATAAACAGAATATCATTTTCGTTTTCATCATGTTAATATCCAAATCTTGACAAGAGGGATATTTTCAAATATGTTTTGGATATGCATCTCTACAATAATGGTATGTAAACCCAACTTGTGGAAGGTTCTAAGTTTGTGTTTTGGATACATTCCACATATATAATATTCAATTCAGATGTTTACATTGAGAATAACAGGATAGATTGGATTCTTGGAGATGACATTCAATAAAATCTGATTATTTTTCAACAAATCACCTTACTCATTTCAGAATACCACACTAAAATAATTCTTATGATCAATTAGATACATGTCTAATGGGAGTAATGAATATTTGTTTATTATAAAAGAGTGAAAACAAAAAATATTAAAGGATTATTATGCTCAAGCTAATATACTATTACTAGGTAATTAAATTATTTGGTTACCTTCGCAAAGAATGACTTTTCACTTTCATGTGAGAGCTGTAAACGGTTCAAATAAAATTATAACTATTGGTATGAAATTAAATGATTAAGTCAAATCTGCTGACATTTTCAAATCCACAAAGATCAAATACAATTGAACATTAACAGGTAGTTAGTTCCAGAATTCTACATATTCATTTGAATATGACTGACAATATATTTGTTCGATTATCCATCACACAGAGGTATTCAAATTTTAATCTATGCATGAGGATCTTGTGAATGATAATGGAAAGAAATCATATAACCTACCTACGTAATGACTAATAATTTAACTTGCGTTTAGGTAAACCTGATTGAAAAAATCTAAACATCTTGAAAATATATACCTACTCATCAAATGGACATGTAATAAACTAATTACAAGTTGTGATTATGATAATAACAATTTGAATCAGATGATCTTCTACTAACTGAATGTCAAATAATTTTATCTGAGTTTAGGTAAAGACTAATTCAGAATTTGAACATCGTAAGTGAAAAATTACCATTCTAATTATAGTCTATACGAAGTCAATCCGAACAGCTGAATAGAAGACTAATGTACCGGATCTGATACATTTGCTAGTTAATACCATATAAAACCTTCCACCAAAAAATAATGATTAGACATCGTTAAGAAACTGCCAACGTTCGATAACTTTTAGTTATCATGCCATTCGAATTGGCTATATCCTATACCATTCTTCTCAAGTCTATTGACAGATAGATATCTTCATTTACTTTACAGAGTATTTGTAGTCCTACATGAACACAGTGGCAGAATACGTTGTCTGTAAAAGTACGTCAACAAAATACAAAATTCTAAATCTACATACACTTCTGGAAATATGGACTGTCAAAAATCACACAAGGAGCTTAAAAAAATANCTTTGTAAAAAAGGAAACTAGTCGTTTATCCATTTCTTATTCAAAAAATTTTGATACACAAGTCAGTAAATTAATAGTTCTAAAGTTGGAAGGTTCCGACTTATTTCCTTTTTTATGAAGTGGTTTCACTAGAGATACCTTGAGTTCATCTGTAAAAACGCCCTCCTCAAAAGAACTATTAATTAAATGGGTTAAAATTGCTACAATTTGTTGTACACATTTTTTTAGTATATGGATTGGTACTTCATCAATACCAGTGCTTTTCTTGTTCTTCATATTATTTATTATTGAGAGCAGCTCACATTCTGTTACAGGGTTCAAGAAAAAGGTGAGTCTGTGAAAATATATTGCCTTTTCAAATCCACTTACCTTACCTATATTTTTTCATCTTGTTAAGAGTTCCTGGGCCGTGTTTATGAAGTATTCATTAAAGCAATTTGCAGCCTCATGCGGATTATCGAGTTCAAACTGTTCATTTTGATTTGAACCTGTTACTTCGTTGATAACCTGCCACATTGCTTTGGATTTATTGTCTGACCTAGCTATTTCGTTCGTATAATTATTTTTCTTACAATTTCTAAAAGGTTATTGTAAATTCTTTTTTTTGTTGTATATTGCTTTATAGTTTGGGTGAATTTTAGAGATGGATTGGTAAAAAATCAATTCATTTTTTCTTTGTTCAATTTCTGGGGAATATTACTGGAGTTTTTTCCCAACACCAAATCGTTATTTTCAACACCTCGACACGTGTTTCGATCACCAAGTGATCATCTTCAAAGAGGAAGATTAAAACTTCCAGTAATATTCATTACTACACCAAAGGTTCCAAACAGTGCATTCTAAGTACAATTTCTGGGGAGTTGAAAAGTCTTTTATGTGATTCCAGTTATTTTTCTGTTATTGGAAAGTGCAAATCAAAATAAAAACCGAAAGTTGAACTAAATTGTAAAAAAGCATCATTTAAATTTGTCTCGGTGCAAACAGCTAACCAGTTTTCACACCCAAGTTGTATACAAAAATCACTTACTGATTTAGGATTATAATGACGACGTATTTTTTGTTGGTCGATTTGGTTTTTTTCTCCTTAACGAGTAACACTTGCCCTGCGTGGTCCGATATACCTGTTTCAATCACTTTTCCTTTATTATCTTCTTCAAAGTTTGTGATAACATTGTCAAGACAAGTTCTGGATTGGGAAGTGACCCTATTGGTTCAGTTATTGTTAAAGAAAAATTGTAGGTAGCTAACATATTTTTGAAGTCCTTGCAAGCCCTACCTTCAAGACAAGCTGTGTCTATGTTAAAATCTCCTGCAATGAAATTTAAATGGTTTTTTTGTATGAAATGTCTAACATGTACTGAAATTTGTTTAAAAACAGTTCCTTATTACTAGAGGGGGTCCTATAGATACAAACTATGTTCATCTTTGTCCTATCTATCTCGCAGAAAGCGCTGGAACATTCAAAGACGTAGTCCTCAGCTAGGGTATCAATTTCATGAATTGGACTGCTGACGATCTTCTTTGAAATATATATCTGGTCTGCAATGGCTGGAAACTAAGTTGTGTTCTTTGAATGAGTGAAGTTTAAGACCCAGTTGTGTTTGCCAGTGCTCAGTGATGCATACTATTGGGCATTTCAGGTCTTCAACTATTTTTTGCACCATGTTGATGCTATTTCCCAGGAATTGGACATTTTGGTGTGATAATATGGTTTTCATTCTCGTTGATTTTGTGTCTGAGTCACTTCTAAAAAAGTAGAGGGTTGATTTATATTTTCTTTATAGGTGTTTTGGTTGATTAGAAGGTGTTTGCCTCTCCTAAAATCAAAACTAGGGTTATATAAATTCTCCTTCAGATTCGGTGACACGCCCACTATGAAGGACTGGTTATTGCGTTTAGTGTGGAGGGTTTTGAGTTTTTTAACATCAATTTCTTGCTTTTCTGGTGACTGTCTTGTCTCGGTGTGTGTTTCTACGTATGATTTAATATTTTTTTCATTTATATCATCTGGAACTCGTGTTACGCTGATTATTCATCCCATAAAAATTCTTATATCCCGCACTTCTGCCGATGTTTCGTTATTTACTTTTTCTTCTTGCTACTTTCGTGAAACCTTCACTATTTTCGTATTCATTATTTATATTGATGATGCTGTTCATAATCCTCCTCTGATTCTCTTTCAAAAGTGCTGTTTGATTTTCAGATTTTTCGTTATATGGAAACTAAGTTGTGTTCTTTGAATGAGTGAAGTTTAAGACCCAGTTGTGTTTGCCAGTGCTCAGTGATGCATACTATTGGGCATTTCAGGTCTTCAACTATTTTTTGCACCATGTTGATGCTATTTCCCAGGAATTGGACATTTTGGTGTGATAATATGGTTTTCATTCTCGTTGATTTTGTGTCTGAGTCACTTCTAAAAAAGTAGAGGGTTGATTTATATTTTCTTTATAGGTGTTTTGGTTGATTAGAAGGTGTTTGCCTCTCCTAAAATCAAAACTAGGGTTATATAAATTCTCCTTCAGATTCGGTGACACGCCCACTATGAAGGACTGGTTATTGCGTTTAGTGTGGAGGGTTTTGAGTTTTTTAACATCAATTTCTTGCTTTTCTGGTGACTGTTTTGTCTCGGTGTGTGTTTCTACGTATGATTTAATATTTTCTTCATTTATATCATCTGGAACTCGTGTTATGCTGATTATTCATCCCATAAAAATTCTTATATCCCGCACTTCTGCCGATGTTTCGTTATTTACTTTTTCTTCTTGCTACTTTCGTGAAACCTTCACTATTTTCGTATTCATTATTTATATTGATGATGCTGTTCATAATCCTCCTCTGATTCTCTTTCAAAAGTGCTGTTTGATTTTCAGATTTTTCGTTATTTTTTGATTTGTTTTGATTGTTTGTACTACCCTGTATGCTGTGAATCACCCTCATGTTGTTCGGGCTGTTGTTTAGATTTACTTTTTTCCGGAGACACTTATTTATTTACAGTATTTTTTGCTGGAGTTTTGGTATGTTTTTCAGTCTGCCTAATCTTATTAACATAGAACGTGAGTTTTTCTTCCAAAAATGATATTTTCTCATGCAACAATTCAATGACTTGCTCTTTGTCTTCTATTATGGTATCTTTGTCGACCAGTATTTGCCTTAGTAATTTGTTTTCTTCCTTCAGATAGTCTTCCTCTAATCGATTCGTGTTGTCATCCGTCTGTTTATCTGGTTCGTGTTTGCATTCAGCTTTTTTTGGTCACTTGCCTGTTTGAGGCACTTTGGATGGAAGTGTTCACTACATTTCACACATTTTACCTTATTCACAACTTTTTTGGAGCAATGTTTACATATTACATTTTCATTTTCTTTAGGAACAAGTGACAGACTACCTGCACTGCCCCCCTTCTTGACCATTATATTGATAAATTTGAGA